TCTCCACGTCGTCGTACACTTACTTACGATCGAATATCAAGCTTTTTAATACTTTAAAAGAATAGTACTAAGAAGCTTTTTGATGTTGCTTGAGTTAACGCGGAAATTGTTGAAAGAATTATATATATATATATATAAAAGTACATAAGTTATACCTACGTACCTAAAGATGATGCGTACTATCGAACGTATAGAAAGTTGTCATCATAAGTTTCTTGTAAAATGTAAATGGAAAAGGAAGTAGGGTAAAAGAGCTTTCCTTCGAAGGTTGTTAAAATAACACACGAACAAACAAACAAACTTTTTTACCAATCGTATCATACGATGACTGACTGAATGTATAGAAGCACTAGGGAAAATTCTTGCATGAATTTTATTTGTGACAAAGCTCGCATTTATTTATTTTTTCTTTTTTTTTTTTTTAACCCACGCATTACACACACACACACCACACAAATATACAAACATTTATTGTTTTCTTATAGGTAGCATAACGTTTTATGTATCGTCACAGTATATGCGACAACCGATCGATTTTTTCCATTACGAATCAATCCACAATCCTGATTAATTCTTATTCTTCTACTTATTTACATATGCATATATATACCTCTATCTTTATATTTACACGTATGATCAATTTCTTGGAATATTGTGTAAATTAAAAACAAACTTAATTAAGAAAGAAAGAAAAGAAAAAAAGATTAATTCAATTTAATTATTAGTTAATCTTTTGTTCAAACCAATTTACTTTATACATGAGATTGTGTGTTGTGTTAGTACTCTTTACTTACAAGTTTCAACTACTACATTTTTTTTCATTATTATTATTATTATTTTTTTTATAATTTTTAGCGTGATTTTATTCATGAAATATAATTTAATAACCTTCGTTACTTTTATACCATTACGTAGACTATTTTAAATTTTAATCGTAGTTTCTAAATGGAAAACTTTTCTTTGTACTTTTTTTTTTTTTTTTTTTTTTTTTTTTTTTTTAATTTCTTCTA